GAGTGGTGATGAATGGAGTCAAACCCAATTGGCGGCCGGTCACGACTGGTGTTCCCCAGGGCTCAGTACTGGGGCTCGTCCTGTTCAATATCTTCATATGGATGCACACGACAGATAACCTTTCTGTAATGTTAGTTCTGAATGTTCACCTACTGTAGAATGTGTAATTTACCTCCTCGGGACATGCCAATAGTGCTCCTGAGAGGACATCAGTTATTTACATACCTATAGAGATGCATGAGATTGTATGCTTCATGCAGCATTTTATTGCCCGTCTAGTTCTAGGCTTTTTTTTTTTTTTTTTTTTTTCCTGGTAACAGTTAGTGATTAATGGGAGTCTTAATTTGCATGCTCACTTTTACGCTTATTACAGTGCATTATGTGCCAGTAGGAGTCTTAAAGTTCAATGAAAATCTCGTGCATACTAATGAGAATGCAAATAACTGCTGATGAAGGAATGCAAGGGTCTCAAGGTAGCAAATGTCCAGCTATCTTGCAAAATTCCTTTTAGACAAAAGTAGCATTACAATGAGTACAGAATGCAGGAAGCGCCGTCCAGATAAAATTAGAAGCAGCAGCATAATTAGTTTGAAATGGAGGCAATGATTAATTTTGCCAAAGCTTTGGGGGGCAGGGAAGCATGTTTTGGTTGCGCTTGGTACATATGTGTTACCTTCTCTACTTCACCACGTTTAAAACATCTTGGCTGACAATGGCGAGGGCATTTTGTTTTGTTAGTGTAGAGAATGGGAGTGTTCATGTGGAAATTTTTTCCAGCTGTAATTGTGACTGGACACTTTTTAATGAAGTGTATACATGTGTGCATATGGTGTTCAAATAATACGTAACAAAGCACCTACCTGCCTTGTTTCCATTAACAAATATTTAACAGTGGTATAAATCTATTCAGTAATTTAAATCTGCATTGAGTAAAAGTGTAATGGAGAGTGCAAAGAAAGGTGGGAGAGCTTTTCCATTGATAAATTGTGTACACTGACTATATTTTTCAAAGAGAATGCAAAATGTCTTAATTTCAAGATATCATTTACTTGGGTTTTGTTAAAATCAGTGCTAACTCGGTAGCGGTTATACTGGTTATATTTTTGTATATATTCATTCTTCCTTTAATTGTTACCGTGAATTTCTCTTATACCTGAATTATGAGGTGTTGGTGTTTTTTTGAACCTTGTGTTGGATGCTCAAAATATTGTTGATACCTTAGAAAAAATTGAAAGGCTTTTCAAATTTTCTGTCTGAAAGAGAACCACCTGAAAACTGGTGGGGATTAAATATAGTAGAGTCTTGCAATTCTCCTCCCCAAAGACTGAGGAGTGGTTAGGTGAATTATTGGAAAAATGTATTGCTTTTGAAAGACTGATGAGTCTATTAGATGATAAAGTACAATATACTAAAATATACTCAATTCAGATAATGTTTTCTTTGCTTTTAATCTTGTAACATATCTTGAGTTGTGCTTTACGTAGAATATTTCAGAAATGGATTTGCACAGAGGGAATATTATATATTAAATCTAACTAACTTCTTCTTATGCCTATAAAGATATTTTAGTAAATTCTGTTGCTGTATTTCCCCCTCAGCTACATAGCAGTGAAGGAATCTTTCATTAGATAATTTTCTAATGTGGCTCATTAGAGATGTTAAAATGAATTTACCTGCAGTTATTTGGAAAATGGTATCCACTCTTTGTGTCAGCAAGCTTTACTTAGGATTAAACTGAAAAAGATTTGTAGTCCTGACACTTATTAGAAAGAGGGAAGGTTGACAGCTCCTATAGAACCGTGCATTCAAATGCTTGTTATAGGTGGAAAGAAAAATAGCACAATGGTATATATAACTGTCTGCATTATTTGTGTGTTTAAATAGATACAGTCTGATAATAGAATATTTGATACAAGAAATCTTCCTAAATTAAGGATTGTTTTGTTGCTTTTAAGTGTTGGTACTAATCGAGATCTGTTAATGAATGAAAATGTGTTGGGTAACGCTCCTTGCCTTCACAGCTTCTGTTCACGGGACACGTGTCATCATGTTACCCTTCACTGTTCTGTCAGTGGCTTGTTAAACCGAGGCAGATAATTAAATGATAAAATCTTTTAATCGAAGTATTCCATTCATCTGAAAATCATTAATCAAATAACTGCCTAAAAGTCCCATCCACTATTGAAAGGATATCTATCGTAATGGTTATATTTCAGCAGTAGTTTCTAACTGCAGCTAAATTTTTGTAGGATTTCAAATTTTAAGAATTTTTCTTTAAGAATCACTAATTGTAATCAATTGAAGTTAAAATGCAGCTGGTGTTTTAAGAAAATACTGGCAATTTCAAAAAAAGTGAAGCAGTTTTTAGGTGCTGAGAGCTGTGGAATTGAAACCAGTGGTACAGTACTTCCCTGTGAGAGAAGCAAAACATGGCAAGGCAGAAGATGATACTTTGTTGAAAGTAATCCTTTAAATTTTGAAAGTTTGAAACTTAATTTTTTATGAAACATTTTAAACTACTAGTTTTCCTTTTTTCTCCAGCTGTATCTTTTATTGGTTAGCGTCTAGTATCCATACTTCACTATACCTGATAACTCTACCACTTTCTTCCTTTTCTGGGTGATGATGGATCTTTGTTCCATCTTTGGAACAAAGATGACTTCTGCAGGAGGAAAGGCTTGTGTGCTATGATTTTCTCTAATAAGGTCATTGGTCCTTTTACAAAGAGTGTCTGCAAGGCTGCCAGCTGAGAAGTGCCAGTCTCAGTCACGCCTGTTTAGTCCCTGATCTTGCCAGATTTTGCATTTGGAAATCCTCATAAAATTTAAATGTTTGAAAGTGCTACAGATACATGCAAAATGTTTTCTACTTCTATAGATTTAATAGAAAGTCATTTGGTTGTATTTTGGATTATCTTAATGGCCTGTTTTTCTTTCCACTAACATAAAACTTTTACAGAAGGGGTGATGTTGACTGTTCGGTGCTTTTGCTTCTCCACAATGGCAAATTCGGGTCTAATCTTTGTTAGGACCAAAGACCTCTGAGAAGAGCTGGCAGGGACTACTTTTAAGAAAAGATGTTTGAGAATGGTATTTAAAAGAACACGTCTTCAGAAACTGTCATCTGATAGACAAGAACCAAAAGTAATACCTTGCTTCATATCATTACAGGTATTTTACCATTAACCTTGAGTTAAGGCTGTCAGCCTTGCTGTCGTGGCTAAATTCCAAGCTATGTAATAATGCCATTTTGCTTCCCTTAATTCCATTCTTATATTAATGGGAAGCTATTCCTCCTAAAAACAGTTTCATAATGTTGCTGAAGCAGAGTCGTGTTAGCGTTTCACCCTATGTGTAGTTGCATTTTCAGTAGTGAGGTGACATTATGACTCTGTGCAGCTTTTAGTTGTTTTGGACTTGCTGTCTGATTCATTCCCTAGTTCCCCTCAAAATACAGCACACACAGTGTTAGAAAATTAAAATTTGGATTAGTTGCTTCTTAAAGCATTTCTGAAATTTTATAGACAGCTGCAGGTCAGACCAGGAATTTGACTGGGGGGTAATGAAAATGTCATTTTTGCTCTGATTTTCAAGCACAGTAACAAAAGTCTTAATTATCCAAACAAGCATACAAAAGAACATTTTGCCGTGTCTCCACGCTTGGAACTGGCTTTCCTTATGTTTGTCCTTCTGTTCATTACTGGCCACTTGCATTCTGCTCCTTATTCATTTGAGAAATACGAGCAGAAAAGACAAATGTCTACAAAGTGTACAAACTGGTACCTACCAATTGTGTGGATTGAAAAGGCATGAAAAAATGCTATGGTAGTAATACTTTTAAAGAGTGATGGATACTGCCTTGTCCACAGTCAGGTAATTTGTTTGTCTAAATAATGCCTATAATAGTTGGAGGTATGTCTAATAATTCATCAACTGAATGAAGCAAGACCCGACAGTGCCACTTCTCTGTGTGCAGTGGAGTCCCTTTGGATTGCTACCTCCAGTCAGTCCCGTGCTAACCATCAGTGCTTGCAGTGGGAGTGTGCATAAGTCTACTGATTTTGGTTCATCATGGAAAACCTGAGCCGCAGGACAATTGTCATTGCCGCTGCTTTCATTCCTTTGCTGTCTTTTCCCACATGAATTGACTGAGATGGAGGGAGCCGTCCCTCGCTTACAGTACCTCCCCCTGGATGAAATGGGTAGTCCCACACAGACATAGGACATGGTGCAGTCACGGCTCTGCAGCCCCTCAGTCAGGTTTGGGGCTGTATCTTGCATCCCTGTAAAGGAATTCTAGTTGGCACTAGCATAAATAGGCTTTTGGCTTTAACAATGCCTGAGGCATATACAGGAATCCTTTTTCTACAGGGTGGTCTAAGGCTTTTCATACTTTTCAGCAGCCATCTTGTCATTTTCTCAGGGTGAAGCTCAGCTCTGTATAGCAAGGTCAAATACAGGCCTGGGCTGTGCGCCCTGATTTTTAAGCCCTGTTTCGGCAGCCAGGGTGATATATAAACTGTGTCCAAGCTCTCCTCGTGGAGGTGATTTCCCTCCCCCCACCCTGCCCCCACCTTCCTTCTGTGAAGACTGAGAGTGTTGACATGGGAAATAACATCTTGGGTCTTTGTATTTTGAGATATTATATGGCTTGCCAGATTGTGACAAATTCTATTGTAACATATATAAACATTTGCTTTCTGGTTTAGGTTGGATATTAGGAAAAACTTCTTCACTGAAAGGGTAGTCAGGCACTGGACCAGGCTGCCCAGGGAAGTGGTTGAGTCCCCATCCCTGGAGGTATTTAAAAGACAGGTAGATGTAGTGCTTAGGGCCATGGTTTAGTGGTGGACTTGGCAGTGCTAGGTTAACGGTTGGACTTGATCATCTTAAAGGTCTTTTCCAACCTGAATGATTGTATGATTATGTGATTCTATAGTTTTGAGCTTTAATAGTCTGTGATCTTTGAAATAATTAATGTGATTTTTATTTCTTTTGCAGCATGGATAAGAAAAAAAAGGCAGGATCCACCCACCATTGAGGTGAGAGAGATGAAATGTCTTCAAATTTTCAATTGTTGTAATTAAACTGCAGTAATTAATTTGTAGTGGACTCAACTGTCCAGTAATTTGTCACTTTTGGGGGAAAATTTAGTATGTTGCTTGCCTAATTGATGAAATTATACACAGACTAGATATCTAACACCTAGGAAAAAGAAAAACAAATGGAAATATAAACTCCAATGTTTTTTAGTTGGTACTTTTATCTACATGAATTCTTTAAGATGATCTATGTAGATTCTTTAAGATGATCATGGTCATTCGAGAGTTTCTTTAATTAAACATATTCTGAAATTACTGCTATGAATTTTTAAAATAGATCTTCTGTGTATTAACGCAAGGTTTTTTCTATGGTAGTTGACATTAAAATGCAGGTTTCAAATCCAGTTGCCAGTGGATCCATCGGTACAGGAAAACAAATTGCACTAACATTTTACAATGCTAACGGGGGAGTTGCAGCCATGATTTTTTCCATTAGTGGTTTGTAATGGAATGAAGCAGGGAAATATGCCACGGTCTTTCATGCTGATGAGTTTGTAAAGAGTGGAATGAGTTTCACTGTTGATCTGTGTATACAGACACACGCATATACACTGCCTGCCCTGGATTTGTATTACAAGTTGCTAAGCACCAGCTAGGAATGAGTGAGTAGATGAGGCATGGTTTACTACAGAAGATTCAAACTGACACCCACAGAGGCAGATACTTGACTTGTATCAGTAGGAATAGCTGTGTCAAATCCAGTGAAGCTATGTTGGCATGCTCTAGCCAAAGATTTGGTCACTGAGATCTTCTGGAATATACTGGTTTGCAAAAAGTTGGCCTGCCTGCCTGTGTGTTCAGATGACCTGGGGAAGCTAGTTGGTTGATGTTTACAGCCACAACTCATTGAAATGAGCTCCCACACAACTCAGGGCTTTTCAACTAAATCTCACTGCCTCTGTTTTGCACTTGCCACTGAGGTTGTAGAGATAATAAGGGCTATAATATATCCATGAATGGAAGAAGTTTAAGTAAATTTATCCTCAAAGGTTTTTAGGGCTTAAAACACATTAACACACTTTTCTTTGCATTAATATTTGGGTAAGTATTAAGTGATTTTTTAATCCCCTCCCCCCAGTTACTTCTGCAGAAGTGATACTACAGCAGTTGTTCTGACTAAGCTTGGACTCGTCTCCTTTTAAGTAGCTCTGGCTCATACTAACTGTATACGTACAACTTTTATTGTTGAAATTACCACCTCATGTGATAGTTGAAGATGTGGGGTGTTGCATGTCTTTTGTCCTATCATTTCCATGAGCCAGACTGCCATGATAATTGTGCTAAGATAAACTTGCTCCTGAGCATGCGGGCAGCCTTGGGTTTGGAACTGGTGGAATAAAACTCCTCCTGGCACTGCACGTGTTGGTCCTGTTTCAAAATAGGGAGCAAGGAGTTTCCACAGGTGAGAGAACTGTGGATCAATAGTGCTCTAAATATTTTACCTTCCAGAAAAAGCAATTTATGGAGAATGAAAGATTATTGGGAGTAATGGTGCATTCAGAGTTACAGGACTGTTTATACCTTCAGTTTCATGAGGTAATAGATCTGAAAAATAATTTAGCAGCTAGGTACTTTACCTGTAGGGCTGTGCATTGACCTTGTCAGAACAGAAGTGATACACCAGGAATTTGAAAAAGTAGTTATATTTTCTTTCAAGTAATCTCTAAATTGTTTTTTCCTGAATAAGAAAAGGTAGTTCAAATATATGTATGTTAAAAATTCTTGCTAATATTTTGAAAATAATGCTGCAGTCACATTTTAAATGTGTGATAGTGCAGCCTAATTTTTTTTCTGTATTAGTGTAGGGTGATATGTATGATCTACTTTTCTCCTGATTTGAAACTATTATACTGCAAACCCTTACACCACAATATCATTATAAATATAATTATACTACTGAAGTACATATAGAATACTGTTTCGTTCCTATTTGTAGGACTGATTGGCTTTAGTGTTTTAGCTACATAAACTTTACTGGCTGCTATTCTATATTATATTCCCTTTTTGACAGTAATGCTGATATGGTAAACTGCTGTTTGACAGCTATGGAACGAGGGAATATATGTGGCCATATTTCATGTTGAAACCCTGTACAACAAATCTCTTTGTTCTTTCACATATTTCTCATAAGACTAGACTATTTCTAGGATAATCTTCCTGAAAAAGGATGCAAAGCCCATAAATTTTGCATTTTTGCTTTAATGACATTTTACTGTCAATATCGTATTTTAACACCACAAAACAGCATTACAGTTCCTAAAGCATAAGTTTCTGGATCTGTGCCTATGTTCCTATCCTACCTTTGTGGTCTGTAATACCACTTTTTTTTTGGATGGTTTTCCTTTTTTTCCTGTCCTTTGTCTATCATCTTTTTTTTTTTCTGTCTAATATCAAATGACATCATGTTAGACTTTATTAAAATTTCTGTTCCCCTTCTCTGCTCTGTTTGCCTACCATCCCTCTTTAGTATTTTATATTTGATTTTTTAATATTTGTCAAACTTGTCTTCTATTCAGCTCTCAGCTATGGATGATAGAGGTTGCCAAACTGCTCAGGCTATCAGGTCTCATAATGAGCTCTGTCATCAAACTTTAATTGAAAATATTGCAGAGATATGGCTTCACAAATCAGCTGGATCTTACTGACCTTACTGATAGCACTAATGACCACATTTTGGAAACCAGTGCTTTGGTGAATACTGTAGGCCAACAAAATGTCATCCATAATCATTATGACGTGTCAGTCACTTAAGTGAGAATGAATGTGAGTTGTCCTTCCTTACGTAGCTCAAGGTCGCTGGGTCATGACACCAGCTAAGTCTGTTGACGATGTTCTTAAGATTTGATAATGTTTTGGGTTCAGGCCATTCTTTCTTCCACACACAGCTAACTTATCTTTTTTTGTTTCCATTAGAAGGCTTTCATTTTCTTACAGAAGAAATCACTTTACATCTCTTTTTCTTTAGGTCCTATTCTTTTTATGGAAGAATACTTAAGTGACTTCACAAGACAACTTGTTCAGTGTTAAGTGTTTCACATACTTAACGGTTTCTTTCCTTCCTGTGCCCCCACCGCTTTTTCCCCATTTTTGGAGGAAGTCACTTAGACTTCTGTGTACTGGGCTAGTTGTAACCCAAGAATGCTGCTCATCGCCTTGGTTATTTCTAATCTGACCAGTAACGTAAGGCATGTTAGTGGTTGGAAGCCTTGGGTTTTAAAAGCCAGCTTCTGGGATACTGGAAACAGTTGGTTGCCTTTTAATTTTATTACAACTTGAAATAAGCCAAATCCTAATCTCAGTTCAGCTCAGTGTTATGATGAGTGATAACTTTGCAAATGAATGCAGATCAAGTTGTTTCTTATCTTGTGCTTAAACATATTCTGTTCCTATGGTAATCAGGGAGTCCATCTTGATAGAGAATTTTGGATCACATCTGCATCCAGTGTAAGCATTCATTTGTGCATACACATACGTATACACATACTGCTTTATAACAGGTGAGAATCTGAGCTTGTATATGTATATTTTTGCATTACTATAGCATTCTGTCATCTGTCCCTTTATATATATTGTGTATGATCCTATATGGTTGGCTGAGGAAAATTTGTCATTACCTTTATTTCTGTGCAGCTGTAAATTATATTTTAACCAATTCAACAAGTGATGAATAATTGACTACTCCATTTCTTTATTATGTGTATAGGAAACTAAATGTATGTAGCATGTTTCTGAGCAAATAGGAGATGTGTCCTTGTCTAGAGAGCTTACAGTTTCAAATTAATGGAAATGTTTTAAAGGCTACCAATATTAAAATACTTTTAATCAAATGCTATTTTGCGGAAGCAGATTTAATAATTTATCCCTTTACATGCAAATTAGTTTACCTGCTAAGCATTAATGTTGTCGGAATTTATTAACAAAAGTTGTCTTGGGATATAGCCGTTGTTTTATAGGAGTGCTGTTCCATCCATGCAAATCATTTCTTTAAGAGAATATTTTCTTCCATTCTTCGAGCCATAGTCCACTTTCAGTATGGCTCATTAACTAGATTGTAAGGTAAATATAAACGTGCTGTCTCGCATACACTCCTACCTCCCGGTTTTCCTTCTGACTACAGATTTCACTCCTGATTTGAAACACGGCATCTTTATCTTTTGGATTTTTCACATCTCGGTTGCAAAGGAAAGGAAAAATGCTCCTGGGAGGCAAGGGGAAAATCCTTCTCTTTAGGACTCCTTTTTTTTTGGTGTATGTTACTACTCCATCACCAAAGCGGAACTCCCAAAATTTAAAAGATGTTAAACAACGTAACACCTATAGGACCACTGTGGGTATGTCTCACTTTTTTTATGCACCTTCATGAATTTCAAGCAAAGTTTTGCTGATCAGAACTTCGAGAGACTTCTCAGCTCTTTGTTGATAGGCAACTTTGCATGGCATTCACAAGCTTTGCTGCATTCTACATCTCCTGTTTTCATTCTGGGTCACATCCCTTTTAAAAAAAAAGCGTTATTTAAAATTTGAGATTGCGTTATGTAAAAATATTAAAAATACTAGTGAAAGAAATTGTTATTTTCTGTTGGTGCAGGTCCTGATTGAGATAGTGGCTGGGGGGGGAAGACACGTGGAAGCTTTGCTTATGGTGCCTGTTTCAACAGAGTATCTGCCTCTCTATCTGCCTCTCATATTTATATGATCACTGCATATGTAACACACAGCCAGGTTTTCTCCCACATAGATAGAGGGAGTCACATCAAAATTGGTTTAGGTATCTTGTATCTAAGACACATTGAGTCTTCAGCTTCTAAACCTGGAAGGGGCTAAGAGGCATATTTTTAAGGATGTAGCAAACCTTAAAAATATCAGGCATATAGTGAGTTTTTAAGCCTTTCTGTGCCTAACTTCTGTTTGATTTCTTTAGTATTTCTGATTTCAGAGGG